GGGGAGGGTAAATGGGCTCAATCTACCAGATAATCCCGAGTAAATTGTTTATCTCAGATCTCAGATTTCTCAACTGAGAAGTGAAGATACCTCATAAGATTGTTGTAAGGATAAACAAAATGTTTGTAAAACGCCCCACTCATAGTAAACACTATTATCCTTAAATTTTTTTTTTTACCTGCTTATATTTTAGGTGGTTAAAACCTCATACCCATCAACTACCTCTTTTTCAGATGGAATTTTCAGAACACATGGTCTAGGGTTGGAGCTTGAGCTTGGAAATATTGAATGGGTGAGAAAGATTTCATTGTTCTGTGAAAGATTGTTGTGAAAATAGCCCACTTCTGCCTGAAGATCCAAGCCCAAGACCTTCCTGGCCCCATGGATTTTGGGATTCGTCAGAGCAAAAGAAGGAAAGAAAACATGAGAGACTTTGGTGCTGGGTACCAGCATGGAGAGAGAATGGTGAGTAAAAAACATCTCTCGGGAGCTTCTGCTGTGATGCGAGTGTAAGTCCTGCCATCATGGGCAAACTTCATAAAAGAGGGCAGTTTCAAAGATGAGAAGCCAAAACAGACACTGTGTCCTTCCTGGTTAGGCATGGTTTTGCCAGCTCCCTGGACTGTGCTGGCTGGTTGCCTCAGTTCATGCCACCAAGTGTACCGGATTGAGGGCAAATCCTCCCTCCTCCCAATCCCCATCATTAGGCCTATCTGCAAGATGCAAAATAGCAGCAAGAAATCTCACAGATTTTCTTTGATTACTCAGAAGGAAATAGGAGCTTTCATACTCAGAGAGTGATAGGCAGTCAACATTTGCAATGTGGGTTTTCACCCAGCTGCTTCTGGGTGAGATAATCACCTTTGCAGCTAAAGAAAATCTTAGCTCATTATCTTCTTGGGGTGATGGTCTAAGAGTTGATAAATAGGCTAGGCTCAGTGGCTCACACCTGTAATCCCAGCACTTTGGGTGGCTGAGGTGGCAGGCGGGGGGTAGGGCGGGATCACCTAGGGTCAGGAGTTTGAGACCAGCCTGACCAACATGATAAAACCCTGTCTCTTCTAAAAATACAAAAACTAGCCAGGCATGGTGGCGGGCGCCTGTAATCCTAGCTACTCAGGAGGCTGAGGCAGGAGAATTGCTTTAACCTGGGAGGTGGAGGATGCAGTGTGCTGAGATCGTGCCATTGCACTCTAGCCTGGAGGACAGAGCAAGACTCTGTCTCAGGAAAAAAAATAAATAAATAAAAGGAAAAAGAGTTAATAAACAATATCTCATTTTCTCAATTTACAAGTATTTATCATCTGGCATATTTAACAAAATATCTTTGTGATTCATAAAGCAAGGCATAAATTACATTTAAAAGTGCATTCCATTAAGCAAGACCATTAGGAAGACAGAGACATTTTGGACCTTGGTATGTTGCAGTGAGATATCAACTTGCTTTACAGATTTGCTTTCTCCTAGAGCACGATTGCAAAATTAGAGCAATACTAGAAACATCTTTAGAGTATGATAATTGAATTACAGTGGGGAAAAATAAGGTTTATGTTTCTTTACTATACCTTTGAACTTTCTTACTACTACAGAGGACAATATTCCTAGTCCCTGAGGATAGTGGTGAAAAACTCATTGTTTTATTAAGTTCATGCCTCATTCTTGTGACCCTAGATTTTTGAAGTTAAATAGGAATATAGTCAAGGGCTGAATTCTGACATCTTCATTCTTTACTTAGCTCTTAAAAGCCAAGATAATTTATGCTGCTTGTTTATACTAATCTTTGATCACAAATAATATACTTAAATTGCTGGCAAGTAAAGTCTCTTAATAAAATAGCACCAAATATTAGCTCTTCATCCAAAATTATTATTTGGGAGTACTATATACATGGTCTTTTATATTAGGATTTATGAAGGTAGGAATGACTTTTATTTAATTCAAACAAATGTTTTTCTCAAACTAATGAGTGTTGTAAAAGGAGCTTATTTGGCCACATACAACCCTGAGATTCTTATCTTTTTGGCAAATAGCACTAACTGTGGAAAAACTTGAGATTGGTGGGGTTGTCTATTTCCCCACACATTGAATTGATGATAGGTTACAATAAAAATATCAGACCAAATTCTGCCCACTTACATAGGCATGTATTAAACACGTATTTATAAGCAAGTATACAGCAGTTCACAAAACAAGATAAAAACTCAGCTCTCTGTCCTCTTTAGTGCTGTAATGACTTGAAGCTGGATCAGCAATATTCCAGAGGTAAGATTCTGTTCCTCTTATAGTTAGCATTAGAAATCCAATAGATAGACACTGGATTGTTTGAGGATCAAGCTTGAGGTGCCAAGTATGGGATGCATTTCTGAAATACTTGAGTTTAATTGTATATCTTGAATACTACTTATTATCCTAGTGAAATCTGATTGATAATTAAGTTATTGAACAAGCCACTAATTTTACCACTGAAAATATATTTCTGATATTTACTTTTCTAATCAGCAAGTCACCTGGGTTTGATATACACATTTGGTGATAGATGAAAGGCAGAAATTGAGGCACAGAAATGATAAGTGGTTTCCCTTAAGGGCAGATAGTTAGTGTCTCAGCTTGTTTGTGCATCCCACAGTGAGGAGCCTGTGTTTTTAAAAATATCTCTGGATTCATTGTACTGATAGTTTCTTTAGAAGCAACTTGACTGCACTGTTTTGAAAGCAGAAATAAAAAGAACAGGCTATACTTGAGGTTGTAGAAGAGATAAAAGACAATCTGTGATGCAAGAAACTGCTCAGAGTCCTATCTGTGAAATGTGGAAGGCTGTCCATAACTAAAGGTATCTACCTTTAGAAAGGGAGTATCAGATATCAGATCATCACTTATCTTGATGGTCATGAGGTAGGGATGTTCTGGTTAACAAAATATCCTAGTTAATAGAGATTCACAGCAGAATACATACTTTAATTTCTCATTTAAAAGAAATTGGACTCTCATAAAATAAGCATGACATGAACCCAGAATTTAACTTACTAATTTCTTATTGTCATTCCAAAAGCCTAACATTATATTGAACACTCTGAGATAATTGTGGTACTGGGGAGCATAATTAATTCCTATTAATAGAGAAAAAATATTAAGGATTTTTCTAAAAACTTTCCTTTTGAGAACCATTTACCTGCAATAAAAGTGATGCATATGATAAACAGTTGGCTACACAGAACCAAGATGAAATTCAAAATATAACTTCTTAAAATTATGAATTCAAAATCAAGTTTTTGATACTTCAGAATCAGCTAGATGATCATCAATTTGTCTTCTTTTCACTTCATTTTTTTTATCTTCACCAATCTATGCTATATTCAAGCTAAACTTACCATTTCCCTTATTCCTTTTTCCCTAGTCTTCCACAAGTCTGTTAGTGTTATTGTACTACTATTCTGTATGCCACTTAGGCTTGAATTCTTGACCCAATTTCTCTTGCTTCTGCATAAAGTCACCAAATGCCAGTGATTCTGTTTGTAACATATTTCAGACATCATTTCCATCCATTCCCACTACCAGAAAGAAACTCTATATTGGTTTTTCTTTTATCTCTACTGGCCTTTTATAATAGCATTTATAGTGTGTTGAATTGTGGTCCCTCCAAAAATATATGCAAGTCTTAACCCTGGCACTTATGAATGTGACCTTATTTGGGAAAAGAGTCTCACAGATGAAATTAAGTTAAAGGTCTTACCCTGGGTTAACCAGGTGGATTCTAAATCTAATAAAAAGTATCTGTATAGGAAGAGAAGAGGGGAAACACAGAGAAGAAAGCCATGTGAAGATGGTAGCAGACACTGGAGTCTATAAGCCCAAAAGTAATATGACAGGTCCCCCACCAGGTTCCTTAAGAGTGTATGTCCACTGCTTGAACCCTGAAGACTGGGTTGTGAGCCAAGGTTGTGATACTTAGCCAAGGAGCAAGTGTCCTGAGAACACAAACATTCAGGAGAGTATCTGGGGATATAGCAAGAAGATCGCTTATCACACTCAGAGGAGAAGAGCCAAGAAATTAGCTTAAAAGCAGTTTGGAGATGGGTGAGGTAAGGAGGTGTATGGGGCAAATCTCCAGAGTTGTCCTGCTGCCACCTAGGAATGCCCTGTATGCAAGTCTTAATAAACTCATCTACTCATCAAGCTGAACTTGCCCAAGTCATTCTTTAGTCTTTAGGCTCCTTCCCAGTTTGGGGGGTGCATTAGTGCATTTTAAAACTGCTATAAATAATACCTGAGACTGGGTAATTTATAAAAGAAAGAGGTTTAGTTGACTTACAGTTCCACATGGCTAGGGAGGCCTTAGGAAACTTACAATCATTGTGGAAGGTGAAGGGGAAGCAGGGCACATCTTACATGGCGGCAGAAGGGAGAGAAGTGAGAGTGCAGGAAAAACTGCCATTTTTAAAACAGATCCCATGAGAACTCCATCACTATCGTGAGAACACCACACCCACGATCCAATCATCTCCCACTGGGTTCCTCCCTCAACATGTGGGCATTACAATTTGAGTAAGATTTGGGTGGAGACACAAAGCCAAACCATATTGGGTGGTGGGGGACATTATAATTCCAAGTTTTTCTTTCGACACCCAAGACAAGGAGTGCCTGGGGCCACCAGAAGCTGGAAGAAGCAAAATGTGAAGGAATCATTGCCCTGTTGACACTTTGATTTCAGATTCGTGGCCTCTTAGCCTGTGACAGAATAAATTTCTATTGTTTTAAGCCACCTAGTTTATGGTAATTTGTTACAACCAAAAACTAGAAGAGGCAAAATGTGGAGAAATCATTGCACTTTTGACATTTTGTTTTCAGATTTCTGGGTCTCAACCTGTGATAGAATACATTTCTATTGTTTTAAGCCACCTAGTTTATGGAAATTTGTTATAGTAGCCCTGAGAAACTAATACAGCTTCTATTTTCAGATACAGCTAGTGCTCGACTTACGACCACAATTGGTTCAGACAGACCGGTCGTAACACGACTTGGTCGTAAGTTGAGTAGGCTATATGCACGTGGAGATGGTAGTGCTGCCGGAACCTGGTCCCCACTGTCATAACGCCCAGCTGGGCAACGTTTGCGCTGCCAGACGCGGAGCAGTCGTGGCTAGCGATTGTGGCCATAAAGTCGAATGGTCGTAAGTTGCATAGTTCGTAAGTCGATCAATACCTGTACACTGATTTTCCCTGAAGTCTGTCAACCAGAAGTGGCCATTTGTTGCCTTACTAAACAGAGCCTATTTACACTTTTTCTATTAACTGCACCCACTTCTTCCTTGGAGAAGCATTCTCCTCTCACTCTACCCATGGGTATGGTAGACTGTATCAATAGTTCCAGTTCTTTACCCTTTCTGGGCCACACTCTTTAGTATGTACCTTCGGAGTTCCTCCCATAAAGTTGGAATTTATCTCTCCAACATATTTGATTTTCTTTGGCCAATAGAGTTAGGCAAAAGTGAACCAAGGCTTCAAGAAGCTTTGCATCTTACTGATTATTCTTTTGTGTTCCTGCCATGCCATGAGAAGGCAATGAGAAGAACCAGAGCCTTCCTAGCAAATTCCCAGTAGACTTAGGCATGTGAGCAATAAATGCTTATCATTGTAGGCCATTGAACTTCTATGATTTTTTTGTTATGCAGCATTACTGGAACAAAAAGTAACAGATATAATAGGCTGCTATATTCTTGCAGCTGAAAGTATCTGATCTGCACACTGTGGTTATTTTAGAGCTGTGCATGTTAATTGTGTCCTCTGAAAATGAACTCAGTTCTGAGGCTGGAAAGAGAATCTCTTTCCCCTGAACTTGATGGAAAGAAAGCAAGAGTGAGCAGATCTAAAATCTAAATAGAGACTTTAGTGGCCGGGCCTGGAAGTGGCCTATGTTCTTTTGACCCATGTGCCATAGACTAACTCATCATGTGATCATGCATGGACTGCCTTGGCTCTATCTAGACTTGCGGGGTCTAAAACACAGTGTCTTCCTTTGTGCTCAGGAGAAGAAAAAAATGCTTGGTGACCATGTAGCCTTGACCCTGCCATGTCTGTCACCTGCGTCTGGTAACATCCTCTGAATATAATGTGAATATTTTTCACATTATCATCTTAAAAATTTGATTTGTAGAGTGAATTTTTTTATATGTTTACTTCATTCCCCATCCAGGTTGATTCAGTCAATCAGGCACACACAGAAGCACATATTTATTGAGTTTCATAGATACAAAGATGAATATGACCTGGTTTTTGCCCTCAAGAACTTGCCATCTTGGGAGAGAAATAGGTATAGACATTTTAAACTGATGTAAAAGACACAGTTGTAGAGGTATTTACAAACTGCTAAGGAAGCAAAGATGAAATAGTTTATTGATGGTGGGGATTATGTCTTACTTGTCTGTGTATCCCCACAAGTACAAAGGATGTGCAAGGGAAGTCTTACATGTGCTAAATACTCAAAAATATTTGATGAATGGATACAAATAGGTAAGTAAGCCATTACGGAGATGACAGATGATTCCTAAGGATTTAGAGACATACAAAGTTAGAGTGTAAAGGAACCTATACAGATGGAGGTTTTGTTTTTATTAATTAAATATGAAACAAAAAACATACGAAAAAGATTTGGTGACAGTTTTAGGCATGTACAGAAAGCAAAATGCTGAAAAGTCTTAAAAAATATTGGCAAAGTTTCTTTATCTGTAATCTATGAAGTGGTAAATTTGTGACAAGATAAAAATCTATTCACAAAATTGTACTTTTGTGAGTACAAAATTGTACTTTTGACAAGTACGACTTTGTATCCAAAGTATTTAATTACAATGTTTGAGTTAGTAGGGGGATTTAATAACTTGAGAAAATTATAAATAATTGCCAGGATGTAATGCAATGTAGTTTTTGTTTGGAAGTGACCGCTAATTTACTGCATTCAGGGATTCTACTATTTTATGTATATCACGCATTTTCTGAAGCTCTACTTTTATTTCTTGCATGAAATTTTGAGTTCTGATCTCTTGTTTACTTAATGAAAGCTTTCATTCAACTATGAGTGAACATTGGAGTCATCTGAGGAACATTTTTTAAATACCTGCTCCCACATCTGATTTTATGAATCAGTAACTGGAAGGTTAGAGCCCTAGTTGAGAACCGCTAGTTTACTGCATTTACCTCTTAAGAATTCTATCTTCCTGTATCTACTTCCTATTGCTGCTGTAACAAATTGCCACAAATTTAATGTCTTAAAAGAACACTAATTTATTATCTTACAGTTCTGGAGGTCAGGAGTCTGAAATCAGTTCCATTGGGCTAAAATCAAAGTGTTCCTTTTGGATCCTCTAGGGAAGTGTCCATTTCCTTGTCTTTTTCTTTTCTGGAAGTTGCTTGAATTTCTTTGCCCCTGCCCCTTTCTTGACTCTCTCTAACCTCTGTTCTGCATTTACAGCTACTACTGACTCTGATCCTTTTTCTTATAAGGGCCTTTATGATTACACTGGGCCCACTTGGGATCCAGGATAATCTCCCCATCTCATAATTCTTACTTTGATTATATCTGTAAAGTCTCATTTTATCATGTAAATTAACGTATTCATAGGTTCTGGGGATTAAGACATGGATATATTTGGGAAGCCACTACTCAACCTACCATATTTCTCTCATATGTAATTTTTAAAATATGAGGATTAATTTAGATTTGTGAGAAGTAAATAAGAAATGCGTGTGAATAAAAGCATTTAGCATAGGGGTTGACATAATCAGTAGCAAAAAAAAGTTAAGTGTTACTCTTTAAAAAAATATTTTCTTTAAAAGACTTTTGATGAGTGTAGCATTATCTTGTCTTAACTGTCATACTCGTCTTGCATATGGTATTTGTTGAATACTTACTGAATGAGTGAATAAATACTGAGTGAATAACTTTCCTTTATATTTCACAATTTCTTTTTTCAAGTCTTCTCAATTAATAAGCCTGTATAAGTCAGGGATTCTACTATTTTATGTATATTATGCATTTTCTGAAGCTCCTCTTTTATTATTTTAGATTCAGGGGGTACATATACAGGTTTGTTATATGGGTATACTGTGTAAGGCTGGGGTCTGGGTTTCTACTGAACTCATAATTCAAATAGTAAACATAATACTCAATAGGTAGTTTTTTAATCCTTTCATACCTCCCTCCTTTTGCCCTTTTGGAGTCTCCAGTATATATATTTGCCATCTTAATGTTCACAAGTACTCATTGTTTAGTTCCTACTTATAAGTGAGAACATGCAGTATTTGACTTCCTGTTTCTGCATTAATTCACTGAGGAAAATGACCTCCAGCTTCATCCATGTTGCTGCAAAGCACATGATTTTGTTCTTTTTTTTTTTGCCTGCATAGTATTCCATGATGTATACATACCACATTTACTTTATCCAATTCATCATTGATGGGCACTTAGGCTGATTCCATGACTTTGCTCTTGTAAATTGTGTGAAGCTCCTCTTTATCTATCAGAATGCTGGAGATGTAGAAGTTCCTCAACATGTATTTAATTTAATATAAATTCTCTTTAAAATATAAGTAAAATATAAGGTAATTTTATAAAAATGTCCCAGCAGATACATTATTAATTTTTTTCCAACATCTCTGGTAATGAGGCAGGGGAACAGCAGAAGGAATTAAAGATTAGATAAAGGGCAGAATGAGTAATAGCAGAGAGCAGAAGCAAGGTGAAGGGCCAGGTGAACAAGAAGCAAAATAACAGGCAGAAGTTAAGCAACCAAAACAAAATTAAGAAAAAAAAAAAAAAAAAAAAAAAAGCAAGCAAGGACCCCATGGCTGTCAAGATCTGGACCAAATCTATAGGAGATTGGTCATAGTGGTAGGAGAAATTATAGGGAAGGGAAAAAGCTTTCTGAAAGGTCAGAAGGCTGGGCATAGCTTCTGGGGAGAATAGCTGAAGGCACCTGTTCTCTAACCTTGAGGCAGAAGACAAGGAGTAGGTACAAGGGAGTATAAGGGAATTTATCTTAACAGGCTTGTTTACTTGTCTTAACCAGGAACTAACCTTTGAACATCTGTGTGCTTGATGTCCCCTGAAAGGAGAACAGTAAATATTAGTCTTCTACAGCTTATGTATTGTTTCAGGCTTTTAGTATTGTGCCTGCACTCGATAAGAGCAAGCAGCTCCAGCTTCTTGGGGAAGCTGCACTTGGCCACTGGAGCCAGGCAGCCCCCTAGCTGCTCTTACACGGCATACCTGTATCTGGGTACTGTTTTCATCTGTCAGTTGGCCAGGGTCTGTGGGACAGACCTGGCACAAACCAGTAAGGGGCATCTCCTCAGAGATTGGCATGCACGTTAGAAAGAAAATGTATCCTTAAAATAACCCTGTGTGATAATCAGCTTATTAAAGCTCATGCACATGGACTGCATATCATGCATATATTTAAAATTATGGGATGGAGGCAACACACCAGTGCACAAGGACCAAAGTAACTAAGCAATACACTTATCAATCAAAAGGCAGACACTGTCTAGAGATTAGGCAGCCTTGGAAAGAGAAGAAAGAAAAACACATAAAAAGACCCAAAGTACACTAAACTTATGCTGATCTCATTTTGCAGAGGTCAGTCCACCTTCCCCTCTTTGAGAGTAGAATACTGTGCTTAATAAACTTTTGCTGCTTGCTTTGCTATTTGTGTGTGTCATATTCAATTCTTTGTTCAGGATACCAAGAGCCTGGAACTACCTGGCACCGTCCAGGAACAGTAAGACTTAGAGCTTCGTGTGGGAAGGGTACTCAGCACATAGCACACAGATGATAACCAGTGAGGAGGGAAGGCTGGCTTCCCAGATGAGTCTCCAAAGGACTCATTTTCTTAATGATTTTTTCACAATATAGAAATTGATCCTCTGTCTGTAAGGCTCTGAATTCTCATTTTTATCAGTACTGAAAGTGGATCTGCTTGCCAATGATAGAATAATATTAACCAAACTTTGTAGAAATGATCTATAAAGTTAGAATGCCAAATTGTTAATTCACAAAGAGAAATAGAATTGTCACAAAAGTAAAATAATTCAACCAGCATGACATGCACATTCTGATTCAACATTTTTTTTTTTTTATAAGGTCCACCATGCCTGGCTAATAA